TCATCGCCTCAGAACTATTCTGTTCAAAGTGTACTTAAGTAAAGAGGCACTTTGGACAAAATAGTTCCTATGGCACATCACTTTTGGAGTGGCTCACGTAACGTGTATCTCCGTACCATTTCTCTCTGCCGCCTGCTCCCCCTCACTCTCACTCATCATTGGACTGGCCAATTACAGCGCCGCACCGCTGACTGCCTGTTTGAAGCCCACCTACAGCTCCCCACCCCCCAACCCCCTTCCCCCCAGCTAGAGCTTGCTCGATCTCTCCCGCTGTATCCAAGTTCAGGTCTTTCCTTGCCCCATTATATCCAAGCACAGGTAATTGAGTTTACATGGACCAAAAAAAAGGGGGTTCCAGTAAGGTCCCGCTGTAAGGATGGTCCCGCTGCAGCGGGTGCCGCTATAATCATGTTCTACAGTACATCACTGCCAACAGCACTAAAACTGACATAGAAACAAAGAGCAGCAGGAAAAAAAAACAAGAACATACCGAGAAATATGTTTCTGCTTCCAATTGCTCCTGTAGTTCAGAGATCTGCATCTCATTCACAGCAATATCACTGGAACAGAAAGACAGGTAGGCAGGTCTTTAATTCAGTGTTGAAGTGTAAGGCCATGGGCCCACATCACATAAAGCATACAAATTTTACAATTGCAAGAGACTTCAAAGGACAGAGCATAAATTTTAAACCATTAACATATCAGTAACATTTGAGAAACGTTTTGTGTTGTTAAACAATTTTCAAAATAAAATAGTACGTGTTGTTAAACAATTTCCAAAATAAAATAAAAGTTGTACATATTCTTTTCTGGAACAGGCAGGGTAACAATTGAAGCGTATTGATGACTTTATTAGGCTTTTAATTTCCACCGAAAATGATTTGTCTTAAGTTTATGCATCATAAAACCAAATGAACTAAATTGCATAAAAGAACCAACTGGATAACTTAGCACTCACACACACACACCAAAAAACAAAACAAAAGTATTTAAAAAACACTCTTACTACTGTCGATAGAGGGGTTATACAAGAAAACCACAGACTCCAAAAACTGTGAAGTAGTATACTTACTCTTTCAATTTCCTAACTTCTTCCTCAACATTCTTCCTGTCATCTTTAATGTCTTGAATTTCCTGGAAAAAAATTTGCAGAACTCTTAACATAAGTCTGTAAAAACCTGATCAGACAGCACAAAAATAACTATAGGAACAAAGACAAAAATACACCTTGATCTATTCTCTGATTCAGGGATAATTCAGGACCGTTCGGTTATAGTTGAAGTTTTACGGCACTTGCAACAAAATAAAGTCATATAAGTGCCAAAGATTAGAGGTGTTACAAGAGAGTAACAAACACAAAAAAGGAGGAGAGATAAGGACAACAGCTGTTTGATAGGAAATAAGGAGCAAACCACACCAGAGCATCTGCCAACCACCCATATTTTCAGGACAGTTGGCAACCCTAATATCAAAACATAAATAGATGTATGAACAAGAGTGTGTTAAAAATTTCTGACAATTTTCCAAAATCTGGAAAAATGGGCACTTCTGCATCAAAATTGAGAAAGCACATGAAAA